TATAGGAAAGAAAATAAAAGGACTTGGAAAGAAATGCACATGGCACAATTTTGGTTTCCCATCTGGAGTATTTCATGGTATATATGGTGATGTAGGGCAGTCTTACTGTCATCCAGGCTAATGGTGTCTTGGGCTGTGTGAGGAGTGTTGCCAGCAGATGGAGGGAGGTGATCCTTCACAATGCTCAGCACTGGTGAGACCGCACTTGAAGTTTTGTGTCCTGTTCTGGGCTCCCCAGCATATGAGAGACATGGGGCCACAAAAATGATGATGGGACTTCAGCATCCCCTCCCATCAAGAAAATCTGGGGCTGTTTAGCCTGGAGAAGAGGATGCTTTGAGGGATCTAATCAGTGGTTGTAGATACATGAAGAGAGAGTGCTAAGTGGACAGAGCCAGACTCTGTTGGAGCAGATGGACCCAGAAGTCCCCTCCAATCACAGCCTGTGATTCTGATTCTGTGAGAATGTATGAAAAAATGTGAGGCTGATTTTGAGATAGGGAGCTTAGAAGTTCTTCTCCAAAAGGGAATTGTAATGTGCACATACTGTTGTTTTTCTCTCCCATACTGCACCATTTAATGATGATCTCCATTACTATGTTTTGTGTTGGTTTTTTTTTTTTATTTCTCAAAATTGCTCTGTAAGTGTTTTTCTCATTGATGACTGCTACTTTAAAAATGGGAAAAAAAGGGAGGTAGGTTAAATAGTGATGATGCTGGTATAGACTCTGTCTCACAGTGCTCAGTATAATCATTCCTTTTCCACTGTGTTTCTACTGTGATAATAGGTATCTTTCTTACTGTTTTTATTTTGAATAGTTATTTGTATGTTGAGTTCCAAATGCTTACAACATACATTTAAAAATACAATTATTCATATATTATTTTTTAAAAAACTGACTAATTTTAATGTATTTTTTTTTGCTGCAAAGTATTTATTTCATCGAAATAATTTCCCAACAGAAGCATTATCTTGTGCAAAGATCAAGCTCAATAAAACCTCATGCAGACTAAACTATTCACGTAGGATTGCTGTGCTTTCTGAAAATGGGTGTGTTATGTGTCAGTAGATCACTGTGTCTGTGTTTAGGCTGACCCATGACATGTTAGTAGGACAGGAATTAAACAGGAGTGTTTTTTTGCCAGCAGTGATACAAACCCTTTGGCGGTTCAATACCAAATGTAAGATCATAAAGCAAATATTTTATCACAATGTATTTACCTATATATGGGGAATATTCCTTGCTCTCCTTCAGACATTTTCCACAGTTTTATTCATCAGCATCCCCTCTTCCTGAAATCTGTGGGCAGAGTTTCTAGACCTGTTTCTTTCTTCGGACAGGTGGAATATTCCTTCCTGTCTAAGAGCAGATGTGGTAACCTTTATATACTTTCCAACATATAAATGCTTTGATGTACAACTGTTCTGGTAGAAATTAGTTTTGAAGCCACCTTTAAATGTAGGTACCATTATATCCATGTCATTGGGTTGATAGCTTTGATTCAGATGATCCTTACAGCCACGCAAGTGACTTACACAATCTTATTACAAAACTGACTGCGTTCAATGCCATTTCCACCTTTCTTGGTGCAGAAGGCAACATTAATGAGCTCATTATGTGAACCAGTTCTTTCTGAGCTAATTCCAGACTCAGCTGGCAGGATGGTGGTTCTGAGGAATTAATAGTCTTCGGCATTGACGCAGTAGAAGATGGTTTCAGAAGGAACTGAAGCTGTGTACAGTCAGTCAGTACAGAGATGCATGTCAGTATGTTGGAGTCTCTTTGCTTTGGAAGAAACCTGTGTAATTTCACAGTGAAATTGTAACTTGTAATTGGCAAAATAGAATTCTCTTTTCTGAGAAGTGATGAGGTGAAAAATCGTTATGGGAAAGATGTAGTTTTTATGATTAACTTAATTGTTTGAATATTTTTTACCGCTTTTGGTCTAGAGACGTTGGAGGGATGTATCGTTGGAGGGAGCTGGAGCAGCACTAAATCAAATCACTACAGCTGGGGAGTTTTAATTCACCCTTAATGCTGCTGTGTGAGCAAGGACTTAATGATTTCCTTTATGACAAAACTGTCTTAAGCAGTTTCTGCCACGCCCTTCGTCGCCTTCCTAATTATGCTGCTGCAGCTGCTTGAGGACTGCACCATAAGCTTTAATTAGAGAAATGAACTAAGTTTCAAGCAAATTGCCTCCTCACTTTCCCTCATTTTTTTTGACCCAGGTCACTTAATCAGTTCGGTTTACAGCATGTCTTCCTCCTCCCAGTGCACACAGAATCAGTTCCATTAGTGGCTCAACTGAGGAGGCAGCGAAAATGTGATGCAAATGAATTTCCTTTGTTTAAAAATGCCCACCGTAAAAGGGATTTTTTTCTCCTTCTTCTGTCCCGGCTGGACATCGGAGTTCTCAGACTTGTTTAAAGAAACTCAACTGTGACCTCTTGATTTTTTTCCTTCTGCTTTTTTTCAAACAACTTTTAAATGTCGTCTTTTAGTTGTTTTAAAGTGTCTCAAACTTCTGAGTGAAAGTTCTGAAAAGTCCTTTCTAGCAGAAGTGCAGCACTACTGATTTTGCACTTTTTTTTTTATCTATGAACCAGTTTTTGCCTATTTTTCCAGTCCTTCAAATTCTTTTTTTCCATCTGTGATACAGAATTGTAGGGGTTGGAAGGGACCTCCAGAGATCATCGTGTCCACCCCCCCTGCCAAAGCAGGTTCCCTACAGCAGGGAGGAGAGAGGTTTACATCTGATGGTGTGCTAAGAAGTTGTTAACTACCTGCCTGTGTTTTCATCCCTAAAGTTGTCACTTGTTTTTCCCAATGCATGGCTGATAGAAGTAGAAAAGGCAAAATACCTTTCCCAGGAGATAATTTGAGTCTGAGCAGATGGTTTGGCATGTATAGATCTGCTGCATAATGTAGTGTTTCTTTCATTCTGTGTAGTAGGTGTCTGTTGTCTAATTTTATTGAGCACTTAGTTGACCTGTGTGACTCTCTGCAACAAAGTCAATATAAAAAGGTTAAAGCATATTAAATTATTTTTTAAAATAAGAAATTTTGTAGAATAGAGGGTCATTCAAAACTACATCCAAGCAGGTAGAGATGTTTTGTATATTTGTGTAAACTCACAACAGCTGAAGCTCTCCAAGTCATAAGAGTTAAAATTTTTTAAGGAGATTTTTTCCAATACACAGACATAACTGAAAACCAGACATGCACATCTTGAGAAGTTTTGCTCTTTGTATGAGCAATTAAGTAAAAGTCCATGTCAGGATGCTGAACTAGATGGAGTGTTGAACTTATTTAATATGGCATATACTGCTGGTCTTGTATGCATTTCTGTGTGAGTTTTCTGGAAGGAATGGTGCTTCTAACTTACGAATAGTCAATAGAAGGAGTTAGGTATAAATAATACTCTTTAAACTTCAAGCTGCTTCAAGCTGCACCAGGGGAGATTTAGGCTGGACGTTAGGAAATACTACTTTTCTGAAAGAGTGGTCAGGCACTGGAATGGGCTGCCCAGGGAGGTGGTGGAGTCACTGACCCTGAAGGTGTTCAAGGAGCATTTGGATTTTGTGTTGAGGGACATGGTTTAGTGAGTACTGTTGGTGATAGGTGGATGGTTGGACTGGATGATCTTGAAGGTCTTTTTCAACCTTGGTAATTTTGTGATTCCGTCACAAGGAATGTTCCTCAAAAGCCTTTTTTGGGATGAGTGCTGTTCAATTATATTAATGTGTTTGTAGATGAGATAGAAAAGAGACTAAAGACACAAAATTAAGGTTGTAAGGATGGAAAAACCACTGGGCAACTGGATCATAAAATAGCACTGGAAAGTGAGTAGGATAAAATGGTAAATGAAATACATAACAAATGCCATCATTTACATATGAAGCTATGGGATCTGCTTTGATGAATACTGGGACATCTCTGAGGGGCAAGGCCTGAGGTTCTGATGGAGAAGGCCAAGGAAATGTCAGCTCAGCACTTACTCATAGTCAAAAACAGTTTAGATGTCCAACGTTTCTAGGGATGGAGTAGAACAGAAAGTGGAAGCTTTACTGTTCTTTTCCGCACCCATGATTTGCACTTAAAACCAGGCCGAGCACGTTTGATGGCATAGCTGCTAGCGCTGTGTACAGGTGTAATTGCACCACACATTTGTGGAATTGAGATGTGCCTTGATTGCCTTGTAAAAAACCAAACAACAACAACAAAAAACAATGGATACATTCCAGGCTGGATGTGGCTGTGGGCAGCCTGGTCTAGTGGTTGGTGACCCTGCACATAGCAGGGCAGTTGAAACTAGATGATCTTTCTTCAACCAAGGCAATTCTATGATTCTGTGATTCCTGCACTTGAAACAAATGATAGTTGGTATTTGTAGCACAAACAACAAGGCAGAAATCCAGCCACAGTGGTTGGATCCACTGAGTTTTCCTGTGAAAATCTTTGCTCTGCTCGTAATGCTGGATGCTTTATTATCTAAACAGTTCTTGGCAGTATGGAAGCGTACAGTCTGGAGTGTTGATTTAAATGCTTTAAGTCCAATTTCAGTGTTTTTCACATAAGGACTTAGAGCATTATACTACTATGTAGATCTAGGAATGCTTTTCTGGAGTATGAATGATTCTTCTTGACAAGGTGAGTAAAAGAAGTTGCTGCATCACTTGGTAAAACTAAGCAAAAAGGTCAGTAGGAAAACCCAGAATTAAGCAGTTTTCCTGCTGTAGGTTTCCTGCTGTTGAGTACATGTTACATTTTTCTTAAAAATAAGCATTAATATAGTTACTTTCACCATTTTGAAATACAAGAATATTTTTGGATTTTTATTTCCTTCTTGTCAGTACTTAGACTCCATTTACCTGCTTAAGCCAGGTCAACAGATCCCATCACTATTCTTTATTTCACGCAGTATATCTAATATGAAATGGATACATGAAGTCTAAGCTTTGACTCAGCCTATGTTTTCCCTCTGCTTTATTCTAGGTTATGGACACACAGTGCCTTTATCTGATGGAGGGAAGGCCTTCTGCATCATCTACTCGGTCATCGGGATCCCCTTTACGCTGCTTTTCCTGACAGCAGTGGTACAGCGCATCATTGTTTACGTCACCAGGCGGCCTGTACTCTATTTCCACATTCGCTGGGGTTTCTCCAAGCAGATTGTTGCCATCATCCACGCTGTAGTCCTTGGGTTCATCACTGTCTCATGCTTTTTCTTTATCCCAGCGGCAATTTTTTCTGTTCTGGAAGATGACTGGAATTTTTTGGAGTCTTTTTACTTTTGTTTCATTTCCCTGAGCACTATTGGCCTAGGAGACTATGTGCCAGGAGAAGGCTACAATCAAAAGTTCCGAGAGCTGTATAAAATTGGAATTACATGTAAGTGTTCAAGCTAACCAGTTACCTAAGAGGCACTTTATTAAAAATTAAAAAAAAATAGGCATTATGTGTCTCTTCCAGAGCTGGTGATTGTTTTGTGAGCTGTCAGCTTGCAAACTGGGTGTTGTTGGTAACTATGCAATGTTGCAGCTGAAGGCAACTATAGGCAACTGTGCTTTAAATAGTCAGTTTCCTAGTTAAAAAGGAGATTCTGAAAACAAAACTCCGTTGTGCTAAAGCATATCTACATACTCTCTTATTAATAATAGCAAAAAAATGTTCATGTTATTGTTATGAAAATGGATAGGAGAACGTGGAGCTAAGATTACACAGAGCATCACAGAGTCAGAAAATGATCCTTGTAGCCCAAGGTCATCCTGTAAGGTGAGATGACAGGCAGACAGAGATAAAGGAGGAATGGGAAACGGGCAGAAGAGCAAAATTTCTTACTCCAGTTGTAACATAAGCTAGCTGTAGCTGGCTTTAGGACATATCAGCTGTCAAAGTAATACAAATAGAGTGAAATGATGATACAGCAAGACCTTGTATGTTAAATTATAATTGCTTAATTAGGTCTGACACAGAGCAGTGGCACAGTGATCAGTGATTAGATGAAAAAGTAGAACCGAGAAAGTGATCTGTGTGTTGACGTTCTGAATGAATGTTTCTGATCTGGCTTCAGTCTGCACAGTCCTGGTTCAGCAGAGGCACTCATTGAAAGATTTAAGTAGCCAAAACAGCAAGCCATCCTTCAGGTCTGTGTCTTAGGCTACCATGTCTTTATCTGGACTCCCATACGTGATCCAGTAATCATAATGTAGTCAAAGTGTCCATTAGCTTGGTTTTGTGTTTTGCATTCCTGGAAACAAGTCCTTGAACTAGCCAAAACTTAACATGAAACTACTGAGATTCCACAAGGCCGAGTACAAGGTGTTGCACTTGGGTTAGGGCATGCCAACCTATGTGTACAGACTGGGAGAAGGACTTGGAGGTTCTGGTGGATGAAAAGCCAGACCTGAGCCTGCAGTGCGCTCTTGCAGCCTGAAAGGCCAGCAATATCCTGGGCTGCATCAAAAGAGGGGGAACAGCAGGGAGAGAGAGGTGATTGTCACCCTCTGCATTTGTGAGGCCCCATCTGGAGTGCAGTATTTGGGTCATTTCAGATTTTTTCGTTTCCCCATCCTGTTTATGTTACTGGCAGTAGCTTTTAATTACTACCCTGCCGATCTCCAGAGTTAACCTGGTGATGCTAAATGATTGAGTAGTAAAAGTCATGCGTAATAAATACATCATAAAAATTCTGAAAACCTTAAAAACTGTAAGATGACATTTGGGATTAATTTTTTTTTTTTTAACCTGAAAAGTCAAGTTTTCTTTTTCAGTACAGAGACAACTTTTCAATTTCAAGCTTTAGAATGCTTAGAAAACAAATAGAAAGAAATTCTAAATGGAAAAAGTAGCCAATAGGCAAAGTGATGTATTTCTAATTTGAAACAAAATAACCCAAGGTCGTAACTTTTGAATTAGCCTTTCTTCTCTCATGCAAACAAGTCATGGAACAAAACACAATGTGTAAAATATTTTTCTCTTTCTGAACCTAAATTTTCTTCCAAGAAAAGTTGTGGAGTCCCAGATCTGAAAACCCTTAATGTTTACTACAGGCTTTCCAAGGAAAATGCAGGTGTCCTAAATGAAGTGTTGGATTACTTGGACAGTGTTTCAGAGATGATTAAAAGTTCTCATTGCAGATTTATAGATGCCTTCTAATTGGCATAGCTTTGTTATTTCCTCCCTGTGCTAATGCATACATTGCATTTGAATTCATGAGATAAAGATTAAAAACAGTTCATATATTTTAGCTATAGTGTTGATTTAGATCAGTGCTTGGTATTGCAGTATTGATTTAACAGTGCTCCTGGAAGGGAGAAGGAAATGTTATTTTTAGTGAATAATCTGCAACTGCTTGTAAAATATTTATGCCTTTTGGTAACAGAGCATTGTCCATGCGTAGATTGTAGTAATTAATCTGTGTTGATCTTTCAGCACATTTAATATTCAGCCTTTGGATGAGCATGCTTTATTAATAATTATACGCTTCTGCTTGATTTACTCATTGAAATGATAAATTATTCAAGTTGTCATGATCCTTGATACGTTGTAATGATGAGTTGCAAGGATCTAATGAAGCATTGGGATTAAGAAATGCTCTTTTTAATGCCTTTACTCCAATTCAGTTACACATTTGGAGTGAAAAACAAAAGAGCATAATGAGCTGCTAGTCATATGGAACCCCGATTCTAACGGTCTCAGTCTGAGAGTTAAATATTTTGAGAGTGTGTAATCAATAAGCTTGTTAAGTTAAATTTTAAGATTCCAATTCGTTAAATGCTTTTACATACTTTTCTCTGGTACAGTTGCAACAGATTCTAAACCACTACTGTTACTTTTTAAAAATTATTATGTGGAGTCTTGTTGACTGTAGAATGCAAGAGAGCAGGGGCTGGATTTGACAGCCCAAACTGGGTCAGAGAGAAGATTAACATAATATTCAGAGATGGCAGGGATGGAATATATGGAGGAAGATACAGGGTTAAAAGTGTTCAAGCCCCACTGAATTTGATAACAATTACAGCCTTTTTTTTTTTTTTTCCTTTTGTACCCAGGTTACCTCTTGCTGGGCCTCATTGCGATGTTGGTGGTTCTTGAGACGTTCTGTGAACTCCATGAGCTCAAAAAGTTTAGGAAGCTGTTTTATGTGAAGAAGGACAAGGAAGAGGACCACGTGCATATAATGGAACATGACCAGCTCTCTTTCTCCTCCATCTCAGACCAAGCAGCCTCCATGAAGGACGATCAGAAGGCAAACGAGCCTTTTGTGACTTCCCAGTCCCCAACTTCCAATGACAGCTCTCTAAACAATTAATACAGGGGCACACACAACATTGTTTTGGTGCATATATGCTACTTACTATAAGAAATAGAATGTATCTTTTATTTTCCTGAAAACATTGAAGCTGGAAGACTGTGCTATTTTAAACAAAGATTCATCACTTCTAACATAGGAAGGACTTCTGGGGAAAAGTGTGGGAGCCACCCTGGGAATAGGGAAAGAAATGCAGGATGTGACTGGGAACATCAGGCCATTTTGCTTGAGAGATAAAGAGGTGGGAATACCACTTTCAGAGGTACCAGAGAGAAAGGCTCAGACAAGCAACTTCATCTGTCTTTAGGAGAGCAGGGCCTTCACTGAAATCCAAGTCATCTGATTGCATGCCCTGACTTACAGCTGGGTGAAACTTTGCAATATGTACTTTATCTCAGAAAGGTAGTCTCAGATTTATTCCAAACACACCAAATATCTTCATCTGGAAAACATTTCCAGAGCAGTATCTGTAAACCTGCTGGAGAGGAGTGTCTAGCTGATCCATTACCCAGTAAGTTGCATGTGCAAACAATAATGCTAGGAATGAAAAAGCAGGTTTCCATCCTCTGCCCAGGCCATTTGCATTCAAATTTCCTACTTCCTTAATATGTCCCCTAATCACAGGAAGAATGTTGTCCTGAAGAGAATGTGCCTTGAGTCTTCCATGCTGTTTTGCTTTGTAAAAAATACTTATGTAAACTCTGAGAGGTCGCAGGAGCCATTTGAAAGTGCTGGATAATAGGGCTGCAGGGAAAGGAGAGTCCTCTTCCCTTTGGAATGTGTAGGAATGTTTTGGGTTTTTTGGCTGAATGGAACAAAATGAAAAGGGGAACTGAAATTCAACATATGCCATATTTGTCATAGTCAACTGCTTTAAGCATTTCTCCTAGATAAGGGTTGAAGTCTTATGAGCAGAGTAAGGGCTCAACTCTGTTTCATTTACAGTACAGCCCAGCAGGCATCTGGAGGAATAGAAGTAGAGTCATCTTTGAGCACAGCCCCTTTTTCTTTATTTGGTTTTCTAGCTAGTACTCAGAGCACTTTGGAGGAGAATGGAATGTTTCCAGACAATTTTTCAGTTTTTCATATGGCAAGAAAACAGGAAAAATGTCATTTTGGTTCAGATGGAACCGGATGGAACCGAATTTTTTTCCCCTTGGGAAAAGTCACTACAGAGTCAAGATCCCATCAACTTCTGAAGCTGGAACCTCTTTGGCTGTAACAGGAGAGGCATTTTACTCCAGCTACCTGTCACTGTGCTGAATGCAGGGACCTCAAAGTGAATTTCAGGGAGCAGGAGATGAGACTAAGTGGTGACAGTACTCTCTTCTGGCCTTAAGAATCTACAAAATGGGAATCTCGGTAATGTTTTGCAATGAATAAAAGATCTGGAGCACAAATAGCCATATTAGGACAACCTCCCACATAGGAATAGTGTAGAAGAGAGCCTTTTCCCTGCAGTGCAAGCATGACAGATTGCCTGTAATTTGGCTTGTAGTGTTTAGAGCTGAAGAATATTTTACTGTAAAAGAAAAAAAAAATGCAGCTTGTCTAGAATTAGCTCACATGGGAAAAATACTTGAAAGTAAATAACCCAAAATATTCTGTGTTTGAGCTTGATTATAGCTAGCATCAAACCAATTTTATATCTTTACTGGAAAAAACATACTTTATGGCTAAGCTAACTAAAAGTCTTCAATTTATATTTGTAGAAAATCAGAGCTAAAGGTTGTTGTTTTGGGTTTTATAGATTAGGTGAGAGCATACTGTGTTTGCATGTTCCCAGGAGAGTGGCTATTTTTATACTGCTTAAGTTAACAGTTCTATTTATAACAAATGTTAATCAATATATATGTACATATATACATAAATATATTTATATACTGTACATATATCATAAATCACCAGAGTTTAATCAATTTAGGCACAGCATTTTAGATTTTGTTTTCCTAGGTTTCTCTTTATACAGTGAATAATAGGAAACTATGGCATAAAATAAAACTGGCATAAAAATAAGCATACTGTACCACAAGAAATATTGATACTGTTTTGGTTTTTTTTTTTTTTTTTAGTGAAATTTTATTGTTGTCAGTACCTTAAAATTTAAGGTTTCTTTTAATTTAGTGTAACATTAAGCTGTAAAGGATATGCACAGATACTAAATGGTATACAAAATAATTCTGCAATTTGTACACAGTTGCAAAACATAGACACGTTAAATGAAAGCACAGAATTCAAAGCAGAAGCGATAAACTAAGCAGTAATACTGTGATGTAGGTGAGTCTTTTTTTTTTTTTAACTTAAAGCAAGTATGGCTTTTGGCTGCCTGCACTATGAAGTGAGGCGTATTTTCTTTAGTAGTGTGTGCGTGCACATACTGTGCAAAAAGCCTGTCTGCATTTGTCAAGATTGCGTGTCTTTTAGGTAGTCTTCCTCAACACAAGGAGAGACTGTTAATGCCAGAGCGTGCTACTTAACTTTGAAAATGACTGTAGCTTAGCGTTGTATTGGTTATTCGTATAGGGAAAAAAAGCATTCCAAAGTGTGTTTGTTTTTGTTTCAGATGCTGACTGAATATAGCAAATAAAAAATAGTGGCATAACATTTACCTTGTCTTTATAGACTAACTACTGCAGTATTTGAGGAAATGAATGAAAAACTGTCATTGCCTGTTATCAGTAGCACTGATCAAAATAGTGAGCTTCATTTCCTAGTGGATTTACATCTTTGCGTGAAATCAGTGCAGAAGGCCGGAGTGTTTAAAGCTGGAATCCAGTTTAGAAGACAACAGATTATTGTTCAAGAACCTTGGTGTAAAATGTTTATCTTTCCTAGGAGCAAACTATGAGGCATGTATGTGTAAACTCACATGGAGAGCATTGGTTGCAAAATGCCACTGCCTGAACAGATGCTGCAAGAGAGAGTCAGAGAAGTAAGTTACCTATGGAGAATTGTCTGCATCCTGTTGTCACCTTCAGTTGATCAAAGAAAATGGAAGAACCACTTGAGTTTTGATGTTGGGTGACAGCCACATTTGTCCCTCCGAGAACATGTTCTGTGCCCTAGGAGCGATTCTTCCCAGACATTACAGATGGCATCTACTGAGAGCGAACACAAAACTTCTGGGGGTTGAAACGAGTAATTTTTTAAGTAACTTCAGAGAGTTAGATAGTTTGCAGCTTTAATGCCAAAATTACACAGGTTACCTAACAGGGCATTTGTGGTGGTTATACAAGAACAGCAGTTCTGGATTACACTAAATGTCTGTTTAACCCAGTTATTTCTTTGGCCAACAGAAGATATGCGTGGGCTTCTATGAGGAGAAGGTAAGCATGTAGCAATTGTTCCAAAGGATATCTTTCTAGCTCCCAGCCACATTTAGCTTTTGGTTTATAATGGTGCCTGGGAGGTACAGAGCCTCAGTGTAGGTGTGCTGTAAGGCGCAGTATGCTGATGTGCATGCTCTCAGCAAGTCAAAGGTTGTTGTGCACAAGATCAAATGAAGGTTACCCATTACTTTCCCACGAAACAGCTCGAGGATAGGTTCTTTGCAGCACCCAGGTGATCCAAGGAGCATAGTGACTGCGTGGGAGGGCCTCTTGAAAAAGGAAAGAAAGGCAGAGGAATTAATATTAGCTGCTGTTACTTGGACACTGCTGTCCTTTGCATAGGTAGGAACAGAACCTTGCAGCTGAACGTTACTGTTTGCTTTGTAAATAGCGGTCAGGAAAGAACTGAGATGAACCCTAAAGCTGCTAAAACATTGCTCTCCCGATGCTCTATTATTATTACTCCTTCTAGATTCTGCTTTTTATGGAGGCAAAATGAAGTTATGATACTGAAAGCAGTGTCAATCCAAGTGTGCACCAGTATGAAAGTGCAGGGCTTTTCTCCTTTTCAGAGCTTCTCCTAGTAATGGTCATTAATGTCTTGTGTATCGAGAAGCTCTTAGCCAAAAAAGTATGTATCTTCATGTTGCTTGTTTCAAGCAGTAATTTTTGAAATCACCGTGACTAGTTCTATAACTCATGTTCTTGCTAATGCATATTGATGTCCTTTTTAATGCCTATATTGTAAGTCTCTTCACTTCCTAAGTTATCACTCTATTTGCTTTATATTGTCGTCATCCTGCTGCCACTGATGATGAATGCAGTTATTATGCTGGTCATGGTGCAGCTTTGTGCCTCAGCTAACAAAGGGGCTGCCATGTATGTGCAGTCCAAATGGCAGAGTTGGGGAATGAGGAGGGATGGGGGCTGGGCAGGTGGTGGGGCTGCAGTCCATGGATGGCACCTCTTGTCCCCCACAGCAATCCCAAGGCCCAAAGCTGTACCATCGTGGTGGGATTTGCCCAGCTATTCTCTGTACGGCAGCCAGAGCGCTTGCTGTTTGTAACATGAGGGCTATATAAACCAGGAGCTCATCTAGAAGGATTAAATTATTTTCTTTTTAAGTTCCTCACTACTCTGCTTCTGGCCATTATTTAGAATCTAATTTTATCCTGGTCTGCAGTGCTGTGGTATCCTAGAGCTGTAAAGTGCCTGTTTCAGCCACGCATTGTGAAGATTAATTAAGATACTTGCATAAACAGAAGGCAACAAACTGTAATATTGGTTTAAATGGGAGTTAGCGCATCCCAATTTTGCTTTCCAAGGCTGGTTTCCTGACTGTGGGCAAAAATCTGCTGGATCTGTTTTGCAGCTGGAAGTTGTGATTTGAAGCATTCTCTTGGAACAGATACAAAAAATACGAATGTGAGCTGAAGTCCTTGAAACATTCACTTAGCGGCTTTGCGGGCCGCTCCTATTTGCATGAGGTAACAAGGCCTTGTTGAAATGTGTTTTGCAAAAATTCAGTTCTGCTCTCCACTTAATGCAAATTCCATCTGAACAATCGGGGAAAAATACTAATACAAACCCTAGAAGACAACTTTGCTTCATACTCCATTTCTCATGGAGCCCAACCTGTCTCACAGTGCTGCTGAACCACAGCCAAAGCTGAGGAACCCCCGCAGCAGAGCGTAGAGCCAGGCAGGCTGTGACCTGGGAAGGCCTTGGGCAGCATCTCTGCCTTGATGGGGCCGGAGGGAAGCAGAATGCTAGGGTGGGATGTGGCAGTGGAGCTAGAATTGGAACCTGGGCAGGCTCCTTGCAGGCAGGGCACCACAGCTGCCATGAGGACGTGCATCTGATCCATCTGAAAACCTGCAGGTATCTTCCAAGGTACCAGTTCTTTTGATGGTGTGAGTATTCCTAGTTCATCTTTTCACTAAGGGGGCTAATGAGGTTTTTTTCTTTGCATGTTGTGCATTGAAACGAAAACTCATCTCAAAACATCAATAGTTTTTCCAATGGTTTCAGACCTGAATGCTCTTAAATGTGAGTTTAGTGACTGAATAGAATAACGTATTGATCCATCTACATACAGGGGTCTGAGGCTGAATGCTTGAAAAAAAAAACATCCTCTGGGCAAACAGTTATCCAGGGCTGTGTTCCTCCACTGCAAAACTCAGGCCTGCAGGAAGCACCCAGAAATGATGGCAGAAGCAGAGAAGTAGAAAAAATGGACATGTTTATCACAGAAGACCTCATTTCATCAGGACTCCAGCTAATGCTATCAGCTACAAACATTTGCTTCTGCTGCTTTTCTACCTTTTTGTCATTGTTATGCTTTACAGCTATCCTATAATCCAGGGGCTGCCACCCTTCTTGAATGCAATCCAAGCTAATTTTAAGTGATTTTTAGGGGATCATGACAGCATCCTAACACCTCTCTGTTGGCAGCTCTGTGAGACATTCTGAGGCTGTGTGGTCAGTTGGGTACTGTAACAATCTCTCAGGTGTCACAGAGATTCTGTCCATTTTGTATTTGTGCTGCTGTTTTAACAGAGATGGAAATCACTGACATTGGCAGATTGCCTGAGAGAATCAGAACCATTGTATGAGACCTGGGACTTCCCCAATCCCAGGAGCACAAGTGCAGCATCTCAGGCCTAAGTGGCCTTCCTTGTCTCAGGAAGCAATGGGACTGTGAGGAAACAAGAACAGGGGGCATGAATTCCTGTTCTCGTGCTTTGATTCAATTCCTATTATAGTCTTCCCTCCCCTCCCCCCCCCCCAACAGCTGTGGTACACGATCCCATGGGAACTAATCAGTTTTACTGTAAATTTGGCCTATTCTGCATTGCAAAAGCAGCAGCATGAATGATGAGGCACAGGCTGCCCAGACAGATGTTGGAGTCACCGTTCCTGCAGGTGTTACAGAAATGTCTAGATGTGGCACTGAAGGATGTGGCTAGTGAGCATGGTGGGGATGGGTTGGTGGTTGGACTAGGTGATCTTAAAGGTCTTTTCCAATCTTAGTGATTCTGTGATTAGCCATTCTATGTGGCACTCTTCAATCCCTAGCTACTCTTCTGAACCCTAGCTAAATGGATTACATGGAAATCCTTGTGACACTTTAGGAGGTGCTGGATGAATATCATTTAGAGGGACAAACTCAAATATACTGTCTTGGGCTTCAGCTAGGTAGTAAAGCTGTGCAGAATTGCATATGCTTTTAACAGGCTCAAGTCTTCACTGTTATCAGTCCTCTGAGATGTTGCTGTCAAATGGTTTTGTCTAAAGACATCTGCTGTTCAGTGGCTGGCCAATATAGGCGCTGAAGGAGGTTTTGGATAAACAGTGTTCCTGCTGAGGAAGAATGACTTTATGCGTATTTACACGGCAGATTAGTGGCTGACAATTATTCCTTGGTGAAAAATGCACACTTTAAATAACAGCTCCTTTGGTTGTGCTTACATGGGTCATTACCTCTTGGGGTATTTTTATGCAGTGGTTTCTGTGTGTTGTCACTTAACAGTATTTAGTTTTCTTGTTCTAATAAAACAAGAAAGCCTGGGTGAGCATTGGCTTGGGAATAGTATAGACTGAAAGCTCCACTTTGCAAATACTTGTTTGTGAACTGGTTTCTATAGGTCAATTTCACTGAAATCTGTTTATCCAGCTGTACTGAAACACATACAGGAATAGAATCAGTCCAAGTCATAGGAAGTCCATCAGGTGCAAG